CCTTGCTCTCCCGCTTCCGTCCGGAAGTACCGGGACTTGCTGATCAACGCCCGCRCAAATATGCAAAAGGCTCAGATCCGCATGCAGCAGCAAGCTAACCGACGTCGACTTCCATGTCCTTTCCGCGAGGGAGACCTTGTTTGGGTCCTCTCCGAGGAATTCGCGCTCGAGCAGGACGTTTCGCGCAGACTCCTTCCGAAATGGTTCGGACCATGGGAAGTCACTTCTGCCGTTGGAGACGATCCCGCAGGTCCTTCCTTCGTGATCAACATTCCACCGCACCTGACAGTGCATCGGGTCTTCCACGCATCGAAGCTGGCCATCTACACGCCACCTTCAAATGACAAGTTTCCCGGACGTCGATCACAGGATCCGCCCTCCATGGACGGACATCAGGAAGTGGACCGAGTCATCACGCACCGCAAGTATGGCAACAAGCCAAGGCAGTACAAAGTCACATTCAAGCAATGTGCGCCTGATGGCACTCGGTGGATCTCCAATACAGATTTGCAGACTTCTGCACCCCTTATCTTCGCCGACTATGAGAAGCGACGCCTTGCTAAGGACGCAGCTCGTCCCGCCCGACCCACCCCGGTATCGGACAGACAACGTCGCCCTCGCAGGTAGCTCGGTCTTTTAAGAGGGGGAGTGTGTTACATCTTCGACGCCACACGGGTCCTACCGGACCCGACTTAGGGCTAGAGGGACACATCAGGGCCTAAAGGCCTGACTTTGGGGGTACTACAGGCCATAAAGGCCTCACCTTGGACCAGACCCGACGGGCAGGCCCAAACGACATTACCGTTTGGGCCTGGCAGCGCTCTTGAGGCTGCCGCCCGCCGGTTGGGGCTGAACCGTCCATCTGGACGGTTCAGGGCACAGCCAGGCCTCGCAGCATTGAGGCCTGCCTCTGCCCCACCAGTATATAGAACCGGTCCAGCCTCGGTCCAGCATCGACCTACCGGCATTCTACCGGTACAGTATGGTACAGCGCTAATCAGCGCTGGCGCTATCTTTAGCGCAGGAGCAGCGAGGAGCAGCGCAGCGCAGCATTAGCACAGCAGTAGCGAGCGAGCAGCAGCAGCGGCGACTGAGTGCACCGGCGGCCATAGCCGCCTGAGGTATCGGGAGTCGGAGGCCTCTCTCCTCCCTCCCCTCGCCAGTCCCCTCTCTCTCTCTCCTCCTCGGCTCCTACTTCTTCTTCTTCTTCTTCTTCTTCTTCTTCTTCTTCTTCTCTTCAGACTTCTTCTTCTTCTTCTTCTTCTTCTTCTTCTTCTTCTTCTTCTTCTTCTTCTTCTTCAGACCAGAGACCTATACTAGTTGGACAGAGATCAGTGTTTGACTTCGGTGGTATGAGACTGTGGTACTCACCGGATTGGAGACTTGGAGATCGTTGGGGTTGATACTTGGCGACATCACGGTTCAGACAGCGGTTACATTTGGACTCTGTAYCTCCGACATTAGTGACCTATGGTCCTCGACATTTTGATCTTGTTGGATGACATTTTGGACTACCATATCGGTGACCTATCAGATTCTATCTCGGTGACTTTCGGTGCTGTCTACCTCCCCATCACCTCTTCGTCTCTCCTCCCCCATTCATCTGTGTATGTGTGTACGGGGCTGAGCATCTAGTCTATGTGAGTCAGTCTATGTGAGTCAGTCCGTTCATCAGACTTCCGTTGCATATATGCTCATCCTACATTGGTTGATCCTTGGTTCTGCCCATACTCATTGGAGTATGTAACATGCAGCCTGTTGTGCATGCATGACACACAAAAAAATACATCACTCTCACCTTTTCCGGCTGGTATTCCATCTTTGGCCTGACCGAGATCGGCATCTCCGACACTTCTGCACCCTGTGGAACTCCTACTGGCTGATTCCCTCCCAAACTCCTGCTTGTGGGGGTTGTATTGTCTTCATGAGCAGATGCGCAGTGTATCCTGTAGCGGATCAATGCTCTCATGTTCCCGATGTCCCAGACGTCGAACATGACCTTTCCATACCTTTTTTCCCAGGTAAAATCCTCTGATTTTTCGTCGGCGACGTCTAGTTGTGTTTTCTTCTTCTTCTTCTTTTTCATCTTTCCTGGACTAATCTCACTAGTCTGGCAGACTGTTTTGTCCTCCGTTCCTGTCATCTCCTTGTCCTTTCGCTCATCATCATTCCTGCACCCAGCTGTTCCTTGTGGAAAGTCACTCTTGGCCATGTCGGCACTGGGGCATGAGTCAATGAGGGGAGGTGTACAACCGACCGAAATCCCTGAGGCTTCAGGAGCTGGAGATTGATCAGAGTGGCAATCTTGTACCTGTGACCCAGCCCTTGCACGTGAGGCGTTGATGACACTTTCACAAGGATGAGAGCTGACTGGGTTGTCAGATGCCTGTACCCTTGCCAGACTGGCAATATTATCCTCTTTTCTGGTCATACTGACTGGGTTGTCAGACACCTTCACATCTGTCAGAATGACAATGTTGTCCACTTTCCCCATGAGACTGTCCTTCTTGTCCTCGTGGCCGCTGTCACATGCCACCTCAGAAAAGTTTTTGACTGCGCTGCCGAGATTCCTTGACCCCGTGGCAGCGTGTGACAGTGTACAAGGTGCAGTTTTGTCAGCTTGACAATTTTCTCCATGTGATTGGGCACTCAGCAATATGCTCCTGGAGGTAGGTTCCTCCTCCGCGTACTCTCCTCGATCTTCAGCCACTCCACACGCAGGCACTCCACCTCCAGCTACCAGCTCATTTTGACTTGGGATGTCGAGGCTGTCAGAAAACACCGTTTGCTTCGTCTTGGCCTGCAACGTATTTTTCCTGACATCATCAGCGGTCGAAGATTCATTATGACTAGACTCAGTGCAGATTCGCAGAAGGGTTCTGGGTGGGGGTTGTGTATGATTACCACTGCCCATGCGAGTCGTGCAAACATTTTCCTGCTCTGCTGCCACACTAGCTTCACAATCCGCTGTATCCACAACAACTGTGAGCTCTGTGCATTCTGAATTCGAAACCTTCAATATCTCACCACCGCCCATCCCCATTCCCATGATGTTGATTCTGAAAGAGGAGGATGCCTCTTTTTCGTTCCTCTCGGCAGCCAATGGAACCCCTTCCCTGGGCCCTTTTGGTGGGGTTAAGCCAGTCATCTTCACAGCGAGAGGATCACCTGTGGTGTGTCCCCCATCAGTATTCCTCATCAACTCTTCTGCAGAATGCTTGCTTTTGCTGTCCTTTCCATCTTGACAGCAAGCCTGGCTTCCAGCCATGGAATCATACCCCAGGCATGAAGCATTTCCTTGCTCGTCACCCCTGTCTGTGACAGGCTGCCCTTGTGTTTCATCCACACTCAATACAACCTCCAGACATGGGATCACTGACTGGCTTGCTTTGTACGAGGAAGTTGTCGAGGTTTCCTCTTCTACTACAGCTCCACGACTTTTTCCCTCTCCCTTTGCCATTTCAGCATCTGCCACACCATCTTTCCGCACGCGTTTCGCCAGACTTCCATCACTGTCTATTGTGAATGCTGCATTACTCCTCTTCATTGTATATTGATTGCATGGACTAGTACACTTCATATCACTAGGTGGAATCGCAGCGTTCCCATCCCCACTCTTATTCTTACTTAAATCCACAGCTCTCATGGATGTTGCTTGCCCAGAGTCCACTGCCGTCTCCCTCGTCCCCTCAGCCCCTTCCATAGTTGCCACATCCTGGGCGAGGCATCCTTCCAAATGGGCACTGGCACGTCCTGTTTTACGATTGTTGTGCACGACAGTATCCAAGTCTGCCAATCTTGATGCAGTCACCTCCCCAGTACTACAAATGGCCGAGTCATGCCGTTTTGCACCCTTGTTCTGCGATGGTTCAAGGCGTTCAGGTGGTGCATCTTTCCGATAATCTGCCTTTAATTCCGCACGCTCGTCCTGGACCAGCGAAGACAGAACCCCTCCTTTAGTGGATGTACGACAACTTCCAGGCCTGCTCGGATGACGATTCTCGAGGGCATGCTTGAAACTACACCAATACAAAGACAACACCACAGAAGAACATTAGGATATAGATACGTGCCCCCCAAAAAAAACACCCTAGCATAAGAATCCAAGGGAGAGCTGCAGGAAGAGTGACCAGGTCACCAGGGTTTTCAGTTCAGGGTTGAAGCCTCAGAATTGCAGATGTGCCAGGAAAGAAGGGTTGGGCACCAATGGGCAGACCGCCAAAGAGGGGGATTGCTTGACATTAACGCCGTTCAGAAGAAAATTAAGAAATGCATAATTTCTCAGACAACAACAGAAGCCCACTGATGCGTGTATGGGTCTTCCGTAGACAGCCTACCTGGGCTTTCCATACGGGTGCAAAAACGTGATTCAACTCAGTCACCTGAGAGGAAACAACAGGTTGAAGACCAGAGGACTCTACACCCCTGACCAATGTCCATAACAGCCACTCAGAGCTCAGAGGAATGGACATATTAACAGGGAAGCATCACATACTAGGGAGTAGCAGTGACGGAGAAAATTTGGTTCCACTCTGGGGATAGATGTACAACCTTTGTTACGATCCTGGCTCATTCTGACAAATTACAAGGAAGAACAATGCCGCCCAATAGCAAAAGTAATGAAAGCACTTGCAAAGAGATAGAGACCAAAGAAGAAGAAAGAAAGAAAGAAGAAGAAGAACATGTGTCCTTCGAGACATCCGTTAAAATTGGAACGATACAGAGAAGATTAGCATGGCCCCTGCGCAAGGATGACACACATAAATCGAGAAATGGTCCATTTTTTTCCCGAGGCAGACATGACATGGGAGACACCGGAGACACCTACGCGATATCTAGGCATCTTGCTGACAAAGGATGACTGTTACATACTTCAATGAGTATGGGCAGAACCAAAGATCAACCAATATAGGATGAGCATTTATGCAGCGGAAGTCTGATAACGAACTGACTCACATAGACTGACCTACATGGCATCACTCCACACACAATCATGAGATGGTGGGGTCTGGGTCATACATAGAAGATACCCAGATCCCGTACACACATGCACAGATGAAAGGGGGGAGGAGAGACGAAGGAGGTAGGAGGTAGATCACACTGATAGGTCACAAGATAGAGTCCGGTAGGTCTCCGAAGTAGTAGTCCAGAATGTCATATAACAAGATCAAAATGTCGAGGACCAAAGGTCACCAATGTCGGAGATAACCGAGTCCAGATGTAACCGGTGTCCAACTGCGATGCATCAACCTCAACCATCTCCAAGTCTCCAATCAGGTAAGTACCACAGTCTCGTATCACCGAAGTCCAACCCTGATCTCTGTCCAACTAGATAGTCTCCAATCTGAAGAAGAAGAAGAAGAAGAAGAAGAAGAAGAAGAAGGAGGAGAAGAGGAGAGAGAGAGAGAG